CGCTTAGAGCAGCGCTCAGTCTCCTTAAAGGTCAGGGAGAGGGCCAGGTTCCCCACTCCCAGGCTCTCCCACCTGCACCCCTCTTCCACTGACTGCCTGCAGCAATCCACCCATCACACCCCAGGACTGAGCACAACATGAGACCCTCTCCTCCGTGCCCTGACTCAGGTGAGCCTGATGCCCCCAAACACAAGCAGCTGGGGAAGCCGGAGAAAACCAGTCGCAGAGTTCAAAGTCATGGCCTAGACAATCCCCACAGGGAACACAGTTGGTCCCGCCCTGTCCCCCCACCCCTGCGTGTGGATACATAACCCTATGTCCAGGCAGCAAGCATAGGCAGGTGTGTCACACACTCATCTACGGTTTCTGGCGGCGTGCTGCCCAGGGAGGCTGGGCAGACAGATGGACCCTGGGACGCTGACCCAGCACCACCTGCACCCAGGCCCAGCCCAACAGGAGGGGTCCCCAAATCACACAGAACTGCAACGCCTGCCTCCCACCACCCACGACCTCCTGGCCTCAGTGCCCAATGTCCAGGCTGCAGGAAGGCCAGGTCTATTTTAAATCCTGTCTCTAAAGCGATCTGGAGCCTCAGATCTGCAAGTATTCTTAGCCTCGCTGCCTGAGTGCGGCACAGTGCCGGCCTTGCAGAGTAAATTCCACAACTTTATCAACACCAGGCTCTTCGCATCATGCTGACACTCAAATCACACTGCCAAAGTAACAACAGGCACAGAAAGGCTCAGGAAGACATGCAACCTAAGTCGACACTTTTAAAAAAGAGTGCTGCCACCGTAACATTGAAATAGTTGCAATTAAGCTCCTGCAGACACAAGAGTGTGGTGTGATCAGGGAGACAGATGTGGGCGCGCAATCCACTGGGGAACACTCCTCAGGGCCCAGGGGAAGGGCGGGGAGTAGGGCACCGCCCTCCCAGGATCCTGGGTGGCTCCTGAATCCCCAGCCCAGGGACAAGAGGACACCTCGGCAGCCCCTGCCACCCTGCCCCCAGGGTGATGTCCGTGTCAGCCCAGGAGGGAATGTGGCCTCCACACGCCATGAACCTCCATGCCCGTGGTGCTCCCAGCTGTCCTGGTAGTCAGAGCCCTCCCCCTGCCATGCAAGGCTGCTGGGGATGGGGACGCAGTGGGGACTGAAGGCCCTCACTCCATGGGGTCCATGTCTGGCAAGGAAAGACTGATGCCTGCATCACACACGGCCAGCACGTGATCACTGGAGGACGAGCGTGGGGTGCCAGGCCAGCATCTGGGGCCCCCATACTGTCCTGCTGAACTGGCTACACTGGCAGCATGAGGGACCCCACGTGCACTCCCACTCCCTCTGAACCAGAAGCCAAGATTCAGGTCCAGTGCTTTCCAGAATATTCTTCCTTCAGGGAGCCAGCGCTGTGGTCAGCAAACCTCACTGGCTGCTTCTTAGCACTCAGTAATCGGGCTGGTGAGGGCAGGTGAAGGGCGGGGAGACAGCAGGGGTCATCCTGAGCAAACCAGAGGTGCAGCACAGGAGCAAGATGCTGGGGGCCACCCTGGGGGACAGGGGGTGTGCAGAGCCAGACACACCCTGCCCCATCACCCAGGGCTGCCGGCCCTCATGTCTGCAGCATCCCCTCTCTCAGGGACCTCCCTCTAATCCAGTCCCACTGCTTTCCAACCGCCCTGGACCCCAGTGTTCCTGCTCACTCCTCTTGTGGGGTGCCCTCCCTGCTCTTCCCCCCAGCCGCACGTCCCAGAAAACACACCAGGGCCCCAGTCTCCAGGGGTCACCCCATCCCCAGGCAGGCCCATGTCTGAAAGCTCCACCTCCCATTCCGAGCTCACGCCAGGACCCAGCAGCGGCGGCTTGCTTTTTCTTCTTTCTTTTCTTTTTTATAAGGAAGAGGTGGGTTTTCTCCCCTTAGGACCCCTCTGGTGAGAGACCCCAATCAAACCCAGGGCTGAGCAGAGCTGAGCAGTCCCACTGCCAGGAGGCAGACTCCTCCTGCCGTTGCTCCCAGGGGGCCGTGGGGGCAACAGATCGCTGCCCCTACCAGGCAAGGAGTCTAGAAAAAGATGAAAGAACGTGGAAGATTTCCACCACTGCGCCTGGAGCCATGGCCAAGAGGGAAGGGTGAGAGCGCCATCTAGTGGTCATTGGGGAGCAGCGTCAGGGCAGGATTGGACAGTTCAGTTCAGTTCAGTAGTTCAGTCAAGTCCGACTCTGCAACCCCATGGACTGCAGCACGCCAGGCCTCCCTGTCCATCGCCAACTCCCAGAGCTTACTCAAACTCATGTCCATTGAGTCGGTGATGCCATCCAACCATCTCATCCTCTGTCGTCCCCTTCTCCTGCCTTCAATCTTTCCCAGCATCAGGGTCTTTTCCAATGAGTCATTTCTTTGCATCAGGTGGCCAAAGTATTGGAGCTTCAGCTTCAGCATCAGTCCTTTCAATGAATATTCACGACTGATTTCCTTTAGGATGGACTAGTTGGATTTCATTGCAGTCCAAGGGACCCTCAAGAGTCTTCTCCAACACCACAGTTCAAGAGTATTAATTCTTCGGCACTCAGCTTTCTTTACAGTCCAACTCTCACATCCATACACAACTACTGGAAAAACCATAGCTTTGACTAGATGGACCTTTGTTGGCAAAGTAATGTCTCTGCTTTTTAATAAGCTGTCTAGGTTGGTCATAACTTTTCTTCCAAGGAACAAGCATCTTGTAATTTCATTTAATTAAAAGGACTGGACACAGCCACTCAAGAGACCCTGGTGGCTGTTCCTCCCTCCACCGAACAGGCCAGGGAGCTGGGCCCAGCAGCACACACACAATACACACACACACACACACACACACACACACACACAGAGGTACCTGATACACACATACTCACCCATGCTTACACCACATAGATACCTGACAAACATATACACACATACACTCATATACACACACCCATGTGTATACATTCACACTCACATGCATATACTCATATACACTAACACACTCATTTGTATACACACAAACACAAATACACACACAAACACTCACATACAAATGTATTCACATATACACAGACACACACATGCACACATGCAGCCCCAGCCTGGGTATCTGTCCACTCTCTGCCCACCAGGCCCATGGGGAGCACACTGCCTGCGGGAAATGGCGCCAGAACCCCCCTTACCCCCCAGATGTGGGCCTGGGCAGAACAGGGGCCCCTCCCACCAGGCAGTCCCAGCCCAGCGTTGCTGTGCAGGGAGCTGTGCTGTTGGGGGGGCTTGGGGGCAGCTCTGGGCAGCACCCAGACCAGGAAGCCCCTCTGCTCCGTGCAGAGGACCACACCATGGGTGCGAGACTCAGGCCACCATCACCAACCCCACCAATTTCTCTCCAAGTGTCTCCCAAAGACAAATACCCCCAGTGCCTGGAGGTTTTGATGATCATGGGCTCATGGAAAGCCACAGAAAGGCACACAAGAAGAAACACAAATTGAAGACAGGAAGCCTGTGGAACTGTAACAAGATCCCAGCAACCCACAATGTTGTACAATGCAAGACCAGAGAGCCCATGGCCAACAGAAAAACGGCCCCAAAGATAGCCATGGCCCAGTCCCAAGATCTGACGACATGTCACCTGTCACGGCAGATGGGATTGTGCAGGAGGGGTTAAGTAGAGGCCCCTAAGATGGGGACGACTCTGCATTCCCAGGGCCCCAGTGTCATCACAGGGTCCTTATAAGAGGGAGGGGGAGGGTCAGAGGCAGAGAGACAGGAGATGCTGAGCTTATGGCTGTGAGGATTAAGGAAGGGGCCGCAAGCCAGGGATGTGGCACCTCTAGAAGCTAGAAAAGGCAGGAGCTGGTGCTCCCTGGAGCCTCTGGTGGGACCAGCCCTGCCCATGCCTGGATTTAGTCCCATGAGGTCCAGGACAGCCTCTGGCTCCAGGACTCTCAGAGAACGAATGTGCGGGGAGGTAAAGCCACCGGACCTGTAATCCTTTGTCACAGCACCCCTGGGAAACTCATTCATCCCCAGCCTCCCCTGCCCGACTAAGCAGGAGCCACGGTCAGACTGCGGGGGCGGGGGCTTGCCCTGTCCATGGCAGAGGCAAGGAGAGGTGGTCACAAGCCAGCGGCCAACAGGGGGGCCTGGCTTCTGGGCCCTCTGCTCAGAGGGCCAGCTCGCTGCCCCTCAGCAAATGGCCCAGGATGTCCCCACGACTTAGGGGCGGGGTAACCTTCCTCTCAGGGCTCAGCTCTGTGCCGGGATAAGGCAGGTACCTGGGCCAGGGTCCGCCTGGGCCCCTGCTGCCCCCCAGCGGAGGCGAGCACAGCTCTCCAGCGGAGCTCCTGAGTGTGCCCCTCTGCTCCCAGCTCCAAACCCCCTCTGGGCTGCAACAGCTACTGTGACAAGAGAACCAGCCTCCTAACAGCTGGGGAGAGGCAGGGAGACGCAGCGGCCCCAGCTCAGGAGTCTCTGCTGGAGACGCGGGCAACACTGACAGCCGCCTGCCATCCTACCAGCAGAAGCCATGTGTCAGGGGAGCTCTCAGCTCGGAGCTACCAGACCACTGTGCTGGACATCCAGCCCAGCCTCTGGGGCCTGGCACTCACAGAGTGCCTTTCAGGGGCCTGCATGGCTGCCCCACACTGCAAACAGCAGGTGGATCCCACTCCTCAGAAATCAGGAGGGGCAATACTAACCCCACTCCAACCCGGAGGCCAAGAGGGAGGTATGGGGAGGCTGAAACCGTGGTCCCACGAGCCCCAAGACAACAGCCTCACACAACCCCACGAGGCACTATCGGAAGCCTGGCCACAGGCACGTTCAGCGTGAGGCTCTCCGGGTGAAACGACAAGCTCTGGGGATCTGGAGCTTGTTTCTGGGGGGGCTTGCATGCCCTCGTCTAGTGGGGGCTGGGCTGGCAGAGCCCCACCCAGCACCGCAGCCACATCCCCCCAACCTGGGGAGCCCCTCGCATCTCCCGGCTGGCCCTCACCAGGACTTGGGCTCCCCGAAGTGCAGGTAGTTGATGCTATACAGGTCCATGTCCTCCGTGTGCCAGGCGAAGGTGGTCTTCCACATGCCGAAGTACAGGTAGGGCGTGTTAACGCCCTCGATGATGGTGCCGCATTCGCGCTCCACCATGTCCAGGATGGTCCGCAGGTTCCCGATGTTCCACTGGGCCACGTCCTGCAGGGCGAGCACACGGTCAGCCCAGTGGCCACCCTGGGCACCCAGCTCCCCTGACCCCCACCCCCAGACGCCAGCAGTGAGACACCTACGTCATTCCCTCTGAGCCCCCCGCAGCAGTGTGACCCCCGCCCAGGGACCGAGAGTCAGCAACCAGCCCCACACCCGCCCACCTCACAGCCTCGCCCACGCTGGTGTCCAAAACCCACCCCGGGCCACACACAGCGCCCGCCCAGAGCCAGATGGTCAGACGCGGCTTCCCCCGGTCCTGCACTGAGCTGTGCGTGGCTGTGCGGGAATCGCGGGCAGTGAAGGCCACGTGGCACAGGCCACAGCCAGTGAGGAATAATTCATGTGCCTTGAGCTCACTGACACAGGGGAAGGAAGGACACATCCAGCGGAGCCTCACATCACGTGTCACACAGGCCTTTCTGCACCTTCCCACCGCAGAGGCGGGGACGGTGCTCAGAGCCAGGCAAGCGCGGGAGGATCCCTGCCAACCAGGTTCGTCTATTTCTAATGCCACAAGCAAACAAGCCTTGTCTTGTCATGAGAGCTCGTAAAACATGCTTCCATCAACTCCCAGTCCCCAGGGACGCCTCTGGGAGATGCTGAGATGCTGAGCACATGGTGGTGTTCCTTCACACCTCAGATCCAACCCTGCCGCCCGCCTCATCCACATTCCAGGCCCTGACTTCACAGGGCCAGTGGTAGGTCTCTACAAGGGGAGCTGTGGCTGGAGCCCAGGATGCAGGGGAAGGCCAGGATCAGACCCCCACCGTAAGCATGAGAAGCCTTGGGTCACCTCCAGTAGAAGCTGCCTGAGGTCAGGGGGCACCAGCAACCGGTCACCTCCCCAAAGCCGTATGCATTCACCCTGCCATCAGGCCTACACATCCATAATGTGACTCCAAAAAACACTGAATTATACACTTTAAATAGGGCTTCCCAGGTGGCTCAGCGGTGAAGAATCTGCCTGCCAATGTATGAGATGCAGGTTTGATCCCTGGGTCAGGAAGATCCCATGGAGAAGGAAAGAGCAAGCCACTCCAGTATTCTTGCCCGGAAAATCCCATGGACCGAGGAGCCTGGTGGCCTATACAGTCCATGGGGTTGCAAAGAGTAGGACACAACTGAGCAACTAAACAGTAACAAATGTCTGTTTTAAACGGGTGGTTTGTATGCTTTGTGAATTATATCTTAATAATGTTTAAAAAAGCAATGACTCAAATACTCAACAAATAAACAAAGCAACCCAACTGGCACTAACTTTCCAAAACTCTATGTGGAAAATGACGGGTCATTTGACCAACAGGCATACAACTCCACACCCACCCTGTACTCAAGCATATGAACTTCCGTTCTTCTGTCCTCTCAGGCTGCTGGGGTGAAATTCCCCTCCAAGAAGTCACGATCCATAGACTGAGCAGCAGAGCGGCGGGCTGGGCCGGGCCGCTGGGGAGGCGGGAGGCTGACACTTACCGCCCCCGCCTGGAGGCCCACACCATGGCCAAGTCAGGACGGCCGCCGGCTGGAGGCGCAGAGCACAGGCAGCTGGGCCACCTGCCAGCTGGCCTGGACTTTAACACTAGCTTGGGACTGCACACGGAGCAGGACGCAGCAAGGTTCCCAGCCATGGAGCCGCGACGCCCCCCACTCAGAGCTGGGGAATCTCCTGGAAGGGCTAAGTGTCCTAAGGGAAAGGGTGCTAGTTACGGAAGAGACGCTTCATCCTGCCCAGGGAAATCACCCTCTTTGTGTTTAGAGACCAGACGTGGCCTGGGGGATGCCCACCGCGGTGCTCTGCCAGAGCTGCTCCCAGGAGGAGCCCTGAACACGATGAAACCAGGGAGAGCTGGGGGAGCCCAGCCCTGATCCTGGCCTCTAGGGGTGACGGCTCAGGGCCTTAGTGGCCTGATGTGGGGAATGGGGGCCTGGAGATGAAATCCCTCTCCCTGGGTCCGGAAGCCCTTGAAGTAAGCAGAGAAGCAGGGGGAGCAGTGAATGGATATCAAGGAGCCCCAGGAAGTGCAAGGCACACGGCCCCACTAGCCCCTCATCAATCTGACATCAGAACCTCTGCACTGGCCCAAGGGTCAGCTAGCTGGTGGTACAAAAACACACTGGTGTAACTGGAAAACTCGCCAACGACAAGGTGATCGACCCCTACGTTCAGAGGTGCACAGGCAGGAGATGGGGCAAGGTGCATGGGAGGTGCATAGGGCAGGGATGTGGCGCGGGGGCAGTCACAGGCCTGGGCAGCAGCGCATGTGACAGGGCATCTGTGACCATGTCCTCCGAGTAGGTACTGCCCTGCTGCCAGGGGCTGTGTGCTCGTCTGGAAGAGGGCTGGACTTGTGGGTCATCTGACTCTGGGGTCAAGTCCAAGAGGATGAGCTCAGGGTCTGGGATACCCCTAATGAAGGGTTCCTTGCACTCACTGTGCCCCACTTTATTGATGGGGAAACCAATGTTCAGAAAGGAGGAAGCAGGCGCGAGGGGCAAACTTGGTACTGGACCCAGGATGAGGGTGCCTCCCTGGGTTCTAGGGGACGTGGGTGAGCTCACTTAAAGCCTGACCCGCGCCTCCCAGGTAACAAACTAACACCCTTGGTGCCTTGCACCACGAGGCAAACCCACTAGCAGAAGAGGGAAAAGCCGCCACAGGTCAGACGGGCTCTGTGAAGCTGAAATGCCAGCAGCGACTCAGCTCGGGATACAAGCAAGGTCACAGGTTTCCCATGCTTCTTGGGAAACACAAGCCGCTGGTTCTAACAGGTTCCTCCCCTGGGCGCCCGGGAGGGTCCTGACCCTTCTCTCAGGAGGAACTTTATTCCCACCCTTACCTCCCAGCCCGAGACCAGGTGGCGCCCACAGCCGCCCTCAGGGGAGCAGGGCTGAGTGGACAAGAGTGTTCTCAGCAGACAGCCTTCAGCGGGACGGAGTGGGGGTCACACAGCGGGCAGAGGGGGTGTGGACAGGCCTGGATCCTAGCAGGGCAGAACACCTCGGAGAGATTCAGGCTTCGGAGCCCTGTAATGAACCCCATTAGGTCCCTCCCAGGGTTATTGGAGGTCCCGTAAACATTTATAAACCATCCCCCCAAATATTCGAGGTCCCGTAAATATTTACAAACCATCCCCACAAAACACAGTCCCACTCTGCTCGACACCAGCCCTGCCCGAGGCCTTGGCATCAAGCCTCAGTCAGGGGAGCAGTCTGGTCTCACCGCTTAGACAGGCCTCGGGCAGCACAGGCCCGAAGGCAGCAAGGGGACTAAACGTGATGCAGCCAGGGGCAGCTCGGCTGGCTGGGAACTCGGCTCCCAGGTCTCCAGGAGGATGGTGTGATAGAAACTCGAGAAGAAAAGCACTCAAGTGAGAATTGACAGGGGCCCTGGGAGGTCAAGACTGAGAACCCTGGCAGCCTGCAGTCTGCGGGGTTGCCAGAGTCAGACACGACTGAGAGACTAAACAACAACTGGGACAAGGGATGGAATGCTGGCTGTTGTCTTTTTAAAACTGCCCTGGAGTCAGGCTGCAGGTCAGCGGCCGAGCATGGCATCCGGGCAGGGCTGCGCTCTGACCTGGCAGGAAAGATTCTACAGACCTCCAGCCTGCTTCTCTCATCCTGAGCTCGGCGCCCACCTGTATGTAGAGCCCCAGCAGAAGCCCAGCGGAGTGTCCCGCGTCATCCCTGCCTTGACCACCCAGGAGGGAGCCCACTCCCGCCTTCGCCCGCACTGCCCACCCAGACGCCAGGGCCTCGGCACTCACGTCGTCGTACAAGGAGCCGCTGATGTCGGCCCCGTAGATGGGCGACACGAACGTCAGGTTCTTCCAGTACTTGCGCTCCAGGTCGTCGAAGTCCTGGTGTCGGGGGGTGCAGTACCTGGGGACAGACCGCTTGTGAGGGGCTCAGGGCACCTGCTGGATGAACCAGGGGAGGAGCTCTGCTCAAGCACAGGCCACTCTGGTGTGGGCACAGCCCTGGAGCACAAGGACGAGGTGTGACGGCCGTCAGGGGAGGGGGATGGATAGGTGGGCAGTCCAGCCTGGAACAGTGCCTAGTGGTCCCGTCTCACCAGCTCTCGGGGCCCAGGACCCCCAAATCAGACCACAGGTCAGGGGCATGGGAGCTGGAGGAGGGACCTGGGCTCTGACAGTTCCTGTCTGCCTACCCCTTGAAGGTACAGATGGTACCAATGACGGGCCGGGCACCATGGGGTGGGGGCAGACAGTGCCCTCACAGGACACTTGAAAGCAAACAAGTAAACACACTGCCAGCACTGCACCAATGGTCTCAGCAAGCCAGGGAGGCCGGGAGCTCCACAGAAAGGGAACGTGCCCGCGTGCCGTGAACGCCCAGGGATGCACCCACGAGTTCCTGAAGTGTGCGCCCACGTGGGCCCTGCTGGACCAGGAGCTCGGACAGACCCTTCCAGGAGCCTCCCTCTGAGAAGGTGCCGCAGAGCTGAGACATCCCAGGAGGGACAGGGAGGCACCCCAGGGCTGGGGGACATGGACGGGCCCTGAAAGGCTGGCCTTCAGCAGTCAGTGTTCAGGGCAACACAGGTGCATGGCGTGGCCCTGGGTCAGGTGAGGGTCCAGATTTTGCCCCCTGAGAACCTGGGGGCTAAGAGCCTAGGGTGCTGAGGCCCACCCGGGGCACACAGGCAGGCTCTGTGGGCACTGTGTCTGCCCCACCCCCGACACTGCCCCAGCCCGCGTACTTCTCGCTGTTGGCCAGGCGCCGGTACTCGCCGACCGTCATGGCCTTCTTCTGGATGTTGTACTGTGTGAAGAGGCCCGACTGGCCAGTCACCACCTGCTGGATGGGCGCTGGGATCACCACGTCATCAATGTCGTCATACGTCTGCCGCGGCTTCCACTCCTTTGGGGGGATGATCTGCAAGACCAGGAGAGTGCTCAGCGGCCCCTCCTTGGACTCAGCCGCTTGGGACCAGGCACCAGACGGAGAGAGACCGGGGCACTGGGCACCCCCCATCCACATCACCAAGCTCCCTGGAGCCTCAGGGCTAGGCCAACCTGGGCATCAGCAGCTTGGGCGGTGGGGGGACTGTGCGCAGCTGCCCAGGATCTGTGTCATCACACAGGGAGCAGCCATGGGCAGGGTGGGCCGTGGGTGCTGCCTGGCATAGTATTCACTCGCTGCGTCCCGGAGGCTCCACTGTCATACCCTCTGGCCACCGCGTGCCCAGTTCAGGACTCAGCATGGGTGCGGCCCCACAGCAGACATGGGTGCTGCAGTGCACACCCATGCCAGGAGCCCCACTTCAGGGACACCTCCTGGGAAGAGGCCACACCGCCCAGGGAACAGGGACACAGGATGAACGGCCACGCCGGGAGCAGTGCGCAGCTGGGGTGCACATGGAGGGGACCCTGTGAGATGCAAGGGAGGGGCCAGCCTCTGCTCCTGGGAACCAGCGGAACCGCAAGCCGCCCTGAAGATGGCAGGCCTGGTGATCAGAGGAGCCAGGCCCCTCCTGGCTCAGGGATGCACTGAGGGTCCCGACCACCCTTAACCCCGGCCCTAGACCCCAGGCCATGCCCCCTCCTGACTCCTTCCCCTTCGCCCCTTCCCCAGCAGCCTGAGGCATGGACCCCAGCTGGGCAGTGGCCCAGAGCACAAGAACAGCTGAGGAATGTGGCTGGTCACCCTGAAAGTCCCACACATACCCAGAGTCCCCCACCCCCCAGTCCCCCACTCACACTGAGTGCTCACCCCGCCCCCAGCCAGCTGCCCTGAGCCCAGTGTTCGAGTGGTGGGGGGTGTCATCAAACGTAGCTTTGATGGAAAAGGAAACCCCAACACCACACACACACACACCCACCCCAGAAGGGCAGTCAAGGCCGGTGAGACTTGAATTAAGGGGACCTGGCGTCTGGAGAGCTCGCTCAGGCCAGCAAGACACCCAGTCCCTTCTCCAAGGAGGCTGGCAGGGCTGAGGGCTGCATGGGGGAGAAGTGATACGCGGCGTGGGGGGGGGGGGGAGGGGCGGAGAAGAGGGATGTGGCAGGGTGTCTCCCTGGACCCGTCTGTCCCTGCAGAGGCAGGGAGACCGCTGGGGGCCAGAGACACCAGCATGCTGTCCTTGCAGATGGGGGCAGGGAGGATGCATGTGCAAGCGCGTGTGTCAGCGTGACTGTCCCCATAGCACGTCTCATTGACAGCGGGGGAGTTCTCCCAGCGGCCATGCCTGCCCCCACCCTGCCCTTCCAGAGAGACCTGCCCGCACCACAGCAAACAGCACAGAAAACACCACTTAAGAGGAGTGGAAAGGAACCTTTAAACAAAGGGTAGAGAGAAAATGTGCCTGAAAACATCTGACGCACAAAAATATCCAGGCTGAGTGGTTTCCCATCAATTCAAGTAAGCTGGCAAAAAGTGGGTCCAGCGGCTTGAAGAGCTTAGAGCAGAGATAGATGCAGGGCCCAGAGGATAAATGCTGGTGAGGTCACGTGCGGAGACTCAGTCACAGCCCACAAGGCTGCACCCTGAGTGGCCCCGCGACAGAAAACACCGAAAACACCCAGAAGTGGGAGCCGGGGGTGATGGCAGAGGGCGGAGAGGAGAGGCTGCGGGGAGCGTCAGGTGCTGCCGGCAGAACATTCCATGATGTTAACAAGATTCCTGGCAGAAAGGACGACTGGGATCCAAAAACAGAACTGGCGCTGCATCCCAGCAGACGTGGAACGAGGTCAGGGACAGAAGACATTCCAGATAAAGGGAGGCCCCAGGCCTCAGGAGTCCACCCCAGACAGACGGGGCGCCTGGGGGAAGGGGGCCCGACAACTGCCACCAGCCAATCTCTCAGCCCCAAACAGAGGCTCCGAACCTACAAGAACCAGGCCGGGGTCTTCCAGAGCCAGGGACCTTGATGAGAACCTTCTGCTGAGTCTGTGCCATGCGGGGGTGGGGGGTGCAAGGAACAGAGATGCAGGGGGTCCCACAGGCCCACGGCACTCCTCTCACTCTCCACGCAGCTGAGATGAAAGGCATGGGTGTGACATGGTCAGCCAGCAAGGATGCGAGGGGCCAGCACACCTGCCCCCTTGCTGCAGACACTGCCTGGGGGACAGACCCCCAGGGCCCACGGCCCAGGACCACCCACCACCTGCTTCTGTCCAGCCAGCAAGCAGATGCCATGTTCTTTTTTTTTTCATTTTTAAATGGTTAGGGGAAAATGACAAAGAAGACATTTCAGAACGGGTGAAAATTCTATGAAACTTTCACTTTGATACATCAGGTTTTATGGGGACACAGCCAGGCCTGTGGGGATGCGAACCAACCACAGCTGCAGAGCTGAGAGGTGGAGACAGACAGTCCGGCCCAAGAATCTGAAAATATTTCCTATCTGGCCTTTGCAGAAAAGGCTGGGCGACTCCCAGCATCACTAACAGAGGACTGGATATGAGACACAATGACAGGCATATGGGAAGCGACTCAAAGAACCCCAAACAGGCAATGAATCTCCCAGATTACGTGCTGGGCAGAACCATGTATACACAGGCTCACGTGCACACGAAGGAGCTCTCCGAGACCTGTCCCCTGCACAGAAGGGTGTGGGCAGCCATCTACGGCGCACACACATGCTCACATCCGTGTGGGAAAGGCATGGGAAGAGACGCAGGAATTGGTGCCCTGCTGCCCCAGGCAGAGGGGCTGGGGTCAGAGGTGGGCACTCGTTCTCCCTATGGACCCCATCACAATGTTTGAACTTGCCCATTTACATGACAGTCTCCCAAAAAACGTGTTTAAGGAATATGAAGGCAGAAAGCCAGCCCTGTTCAGCATCAGCTCCGCAAAGCCCCAGGGAGGTGAGGAGGCTGCGGGTCCCATCACGATGCGCTGAGTCCCACCCTGCGTCCATGCCCTCAGGGATCCCAGTGCCCAAAACAGTGCTGGGCTTGGGGAAAGAACATACGGGTGTCCTTAATAAATAAGGGGCTCAAGGAGTGGATTAATGGGTGCCTCATGGGCCCCAAGTCCCAGGGAGGGGGCTATAGAGCAGCAGCTGTGGAAAGTGGCTACAGGACCGGAGGTCATTCACCTTGGCCAGGCCCGCCCGGTGGGCCCCCTGGGACTCGATGTAGGCCACATATTTGTTGAAGTCCTTGAACTCCTCCATGGTTGGGCGGAACGTCATGATCTTACAGCTCGGGTTCTGGGCCCCATGATCCTCAGACCCCATGGCTGCGGCAGAGGGATGGCCACACCTGCAAGGAGACAGAGAACATCAGCACCACCGCCGCCAGCCAGTCCCCCGCCCCAAACGAGGGCCCAAAGCATCCCACCCAAGGACAGAGGCTGTGCAGCTGAATGGGGCCCAGGGGAGCCAGGGCTGCTTCATCTCCTGCACAAAAGACCAAATGACTTCAATTAATTACAAAGAGAGCTGGCCTCATTATAAGAGCTCCTGCGATGCTGGAGGCCTGAGCCCCCATTTCAAACAAGGGGCCTTGGAAATAAAAATCTTTTCATATCAGGGTCATGTCCAGATTCACTGACATTGATCGTGGAGCTGGAATCCAGGGGCAGCGGCATGGGGCAGGCTGGAAAAGGGAGTAAGGTCATGTGTGTGTATGTGTTTCCTGAACAGGGAAGCCCTCCTCGGGCAGGGCCACCATGGGCGGGTAGGCAGGCAGGCAAGCAGCGCCTGGGTCCCTCCAGCACTGGGCCGGCTGCTGTCAGTGAACCCAGGCCCCAGCGACCCACGGGAGCGACCCACGGGCTGCCTGAGGCAGGACCTGAAACCAGGAGAGCAGAGCCCCATCACCCTGGGCTACAGCCAAGCCTGGATCACACGGCACAGAGGAGAGTCAGTGGGGGGGACCTCCTCCAGGTGACAAGTCTGCAGGCTAGAGAGGCCCCTCCTGCTCTGAGAGTCACAGGGACCAGCAGGGAGGCTGTGGCCCATCCTAGCCAGGGAGACACTGAGGGACACACACTGGGGAAGGATCCCTGTTGGCAGGTTAAATTCTCCAAACAAGAGAAAACAGACTCACTCCAGGATGTGGACAAGGTCAGAACCCCAGTGCACGCACACCCAGAACTAGGAGAAGAAGTCACCAAGTCCAGGCCCCCCACAAAGTGAGTGGGGGGGGAGGGTGAGAAGAGCAGGACTCCCTCCAGACTGGAAGTGGGGGGCGGTGTCCATTCACCAAGTCATAGCCACCAGCTCTCCAAACACCCTCCCCGGAGCGGGCACTAGAGGGCAGCACAAGCCCAGGAACAGCCGCTGAGCCGGCAGCTCCCTGGGACAGGCCTGGAGGACAGGCGCCAGAACCAGCCCTGCCCTGGGCCACCCCACGCCACACCTGGGCACTCAGGGCAGGGGCAGGGGCGGCAGGTAAGGCCCCGCCATGAAGGTCACCCTCACGGCTGGCAGGACTGGTACAGACTCTGGGGGTCACCACTGCATCCCCAAGCGGGGAGCCCACCCTTCCTCAGGGACTGCCCCCCATCCCCGCCCCCACATTGTTGGTGGGAGATGAGCCCAAGCAGGACACCACACCTGTCTCCCCCCAAGACCAGCCTGTCCTGCCCACCCGAGCGCCCTCTGCTTTCCCATCGAGGGGTGGGGATGCAAGCAGGTGGAGCTTCCGACAGCTGCACCTGGCAAGAGACCCAGCTTCTCCACCCACCACCGCCATGCAGGTTCAGCTCAGCAGGGAAGCGGGTGTGAGGTTTTTCCTCTTATTCGTGCCCTTTACAATGAAGCTTTCAATAAGTAAATATGAAGAAGAAAATTAAAACGGTTTATAATCCCAATACTCCATAACCCCTGACATGTTTCTTTGAAGGAAGGCAAATGAAAATCAAACACGTACATACTTAAAAAGATAACAAAAGGAATCTGACTGAAATCCAGCCCTGGGCCAAACTTCTGGAAACACAGGGGGACCAAGGACCCCCCATGAGGGAACTCAGAACAGTCCAGAAAGATGGACACACTCTTGACCAGACCATACCGTGCCAAGACAAGCGGGATTCTAACAACCCGGTTGTGAAGAAACAGCACAATTAAACAGTGGGAAAAGGACTCTAACAGACATTTTTCCAAAGAGACGCAAATGGCCAATAAGCGCATGGAAAGATGCTCGAGGCGGTCAGCCACCAGGGCAAAGCAAATGGAAACCACAGTGAGACACACCTTGCCCACAACAACCAGAGTGAACAAGCAGATAATGACAAGTGCAGGTGAGGAGGTGGGGAAACAGGAACCCGGACTCCCAGCTGGCAGAAACACCAAACGGCGCCACCACTGTGGAAAACAGCCCGGCAGTCCCCCCAAAAGCTAAATGTGGCACTGACCACACAAGTCAGCAATCCTACTAGTCAGTACACACCCAAGAGAAACCTATGTCCACATGAAAACTTATACACAGATGTCCACAGCAGCACGCCTCACAGCAGCCAAAAGGTGGAATCACCTCGAGTGTCCATCACGAAATGAAGGTACACAAACCAGCCCCGCCACTCAGCGGCACGTTGGGAGCGCCGCTCGGCCATGGTACAAAAGGAAGCCTTGACACTTGTTACAGCGGGACGGACCTCGAAAATGTGATGCTTGGTGAGAGAAGCAAACCCAGAAGGACCCCAGAGGCTAAGGTCGGGTTTCTTTAGGGAGCAATGGAAATGTTCCCCTCAACTGTGGTGATGGCTGCAGGACTCTGAACACACATGTCACAATTATGTGTTTTAAATGGAGGAACTGGCTGGTGGGTGGAGTCAATCTCAATAAAGCTGCTGCTCCCGCCAAAAGAGAAACAGAGGTTGGGGTGGGGGAGAAGAAAAGAAGAAAAGTTCTGCACTTGCAAAAACGAAACCTCTGGAGCCTGGCAGGATGGGTGACTAGAGCCCTCATCTCTTCAGCCCACAGAAGGGCTCCCCCAAACCTGAGCCCCTCACTCCATGAAGGACGGAGGACACCCCCTGGGTCGGCCATGGAGAAGGTGTCTACAGGAGGTGTGAACTCCAGAGACACTTGGTGGGTCCCCCCGCCGGCCCCGCCCCGGCTCTCAAAGCCCCTAGCAGCAAAGACTGTGCCCCTCTCTCCCATTCCTCATCCTGAGGCTCCGGGCAGAGCATCCATACAGGCCACAATCAGGGAGTTTCACACAAGCTGAATGGATAAACCGTCTGCTCTGCGAATCACCTCTCAATGAAGTGATCTCTTTTTAAAGTCATGTGTTCAGGAGACCCTGCATGACTCGGCCTTCCTGAGGCCCCTCAGGCCCACTGCAGCCCCCACCGCCTGGGACGGAGGAGCAGGACCAGACGGGAAGGGCACTGCCCGGCCGTCCTGGGGGCTCCTCCTCACCAAGACACACCTGAAAAGAGGGGCCACTGAGTCAGGTTGACAAGGGATCCCCGCCCTCTAGGTCCCAGTGAGTCCAGCCCAGAGGGGCCCTCCTGCGCTGGTACCTCTGCCCAGTGGCCTTCAAACTTGGGGACTCATGGGCTGGGCAGTAGGGGTACTCTGGCTGCTCCCATGAAGGTTGCCACCCCACTTGTGCTGCACCGCGGTGACCAGGTATGGCTCTTTCCCGACCCTCCCAGGAGCAGAAGGCTCTCTGGATCTGGACCCCAGCCTGGGGTAGGCACCCCCAGGAGCCCAGGACAGTGGAGTGCGCTGAGCCTGAGCACCTCAGGAAGGAGAGGGTGGGTGAGAAACACCCCCAAGGGGTGGGCCTCCTACAGGCAGGCACACTCTGTCCATCTGAGACCCAGGACTCAGACGAGAGATGACTGGCAGGGACGCCGCCTCCCCAGGAGACAGTCTCGTCTTTCTGACCCAGTGGGCCCTGGACTAAGGGTTTCTGAGGCTGATGGCAGATGTTGTCCAGGAACTGGACATTGGGAACCTGCAACTCTGGGGTTTGACAAGAATATAGTACTCAGTGTGTGGAAAGGTATGTCCTCTGGAGAAAATGTAACCTCACAACACAGCTAAACCTTGAGGAGTGCACTGACTTTGAAAAGGATTCCGGGGCTCTCTGAGGTGTCTCTCCCTGAGATCTCTCCCCCCGGCCCCTCCCTCTACTTGTTCCATCTGCTGCCAGGTAAAGCCCCAGCCTCCTTGGGACTCCTGGCCAGCCCCGGGTCTGTCCCCATCTTGGCTCAGCTCCTGCACCAAAGCCCAGTTCCCAACAGGGGACGACAACTGGGAGCCCCTGAGCAGGCTTCGGCCCAGGAGGAGCAGCTGCCCCTCAACAGGAGTCAAGACGAAATCCACCATGGAGGCAGAGCCTGATACTCCCAGCCCTGTCCTGACCCCCTCTCCAGCCCACCACATGAGCCTGGCACTCTGTCACATGTCCCTCGAACCTGCATACAGTTCCCGACTTCATCCTTCTCTGCCTGGAGCACCATCTACCACCTGGGTTCCCTGCACACCAGGCGTGCTCCCTGATCACACAGAGCCTGAAGCCCACCCAGGTTGCCTGCACACTGGGTATGCTTCCTGATCACACAGAGCCTGAAGTCCACCCAGGTTCCCTGCACACCAGGCACTCTCCCTGATCACACAGAGCCTGAAGTCCAGGGGGCACTCGGGGCCACTACCTGCTGCCCTTCCACATCCCCAGCCCATGTCAGAGAAACCTTTGCCCCCTCTGCTCCCTGGCCTGTGCAGCTGGATCGGGGGCTCAGGGTGCCGCCTCCACACAGCAGGAGCACTAAGACGGGGGAGCACAGGCGCCAGGGGCCCCTCAGAGGATGCAAGGACATGGCCTCAACCTGAGTCCACCCCATGGAACTGGACTGAACCTGCTACAGGAGTGAGATGGACAAGGCGAGCAGAGCCCAGAGGCAGGAAGGTGGGAGGCCGAGGCCAGACGGGGCTTGTGTGGGCACAGGGTGAGGGCAGGGCCCCGAGCACCAGGTTGGGTCCATCCTGACATTTACCTGAATGACGCCAAGACTGAAAGGCGCAAAGGAAGAATGACCCACATCTCTGTGCATGCATTCCTGTCAGCTACCAAACAATCTCCACAAACCTAGGGGCTCCAACAGTGCAAATTCCCGCCCAAGTTGTGAGGGCCAGGAGTCCTGTGCGGATCTCTCATGAGCTGTGTGCCTTCTGGGGGGCTCCTGACTCTCCCAGCTTCTAGAGGTCCAACCTCCCTGGCTCGGGCCCCTCCCTCCATCCTCACAGCCAGCAGTGCAGCATGTCCCGTCTCTCAGGCT